GAGGGGGGAGGGGAGGTCTTCGTCGTCGTCGTCGTCGTCATCGTCGTCATCATCGTCATCATCATCATCATCAGGTGATGAAGTGCTTCTTAATACAAAAGTTAGTGAAAATCAAGAACACACTCCCACAAAAAAAACTACTGAGGTCAAATTTGAAATTTCAAAAGAGACTGAGGTTTTATTTTATTAGGTAAGGCTATTACAGGTTATAGAACCAAAGCAGGCACACTGAGATATGACAAAATTAAATGATACAATGGGTTCAAAGAACTGACCTATTCCTGTTCCCACATTGCTTCATAACAATGAATACCTTCTTGTGTTTTGGGACTTTCCTTGGTGATGCTAAGTGCTGAAGAGTACTGGTTATTACCTTCACTGGCATTGTGCTGTTGCTACTGCTAAGTAACCAAACAAGGTGTGGTCACAAGATAATTATGGTTCATTAAGGCTATTTAACTCATTTTATTTCACCCAATTAGAACGATTCTAAAGTCCATCTCTTCCACTGCCTTCAACTATTGAAGCTGTTCAGAGAGCTCAATTCACATATAGATCACATTACGTAAACAGCATTCTGCAATAGGTCCAGGTCCAAATCCGACCTGCTCCAGAGTTGTGCTGCAATATGTTTGAACAGATTAATTAAAATTATCTAAATGACATTCTGATATTAGTCTGAAATTTGTGTTTTATTCATTTGAACCTGTAACCATTTGCTCTAACACTTTTGTTGGAAGATTTTTTTTTATTTTACCTTTTCTCATGAATTATAATCTTGATCCATTTCTCAAAATAAAAAAAAAAAAAAAAAAATCACCCCTCAGGCATGCCTTCCTTCTAGGTCAAGAAAGTCAAGTTTTCTTTAGAACTCAGACTCTAAAAGCAGGGTATTTGCTAAATAGCTTCCAGTGCTTAAATGTCTCCCTTCTGCTTCGTGAGCCGTATTAAATGTGTCAGAGAACAGCGCTGTGCAATTTGATTCCTGAACTTTATCAGAACATAAAACATTCAATTTACATGGAATTTAAAAAGCACATGAGTCTTGAATGGCATCTTTATTTATAAGATATTATCAATGAAAGTTTTAATAACAAATCGATAAAGCTAGAAAGACAAGGGTAGCAGTGCAGTGGTTAAATACTGAACACTATTGATCGCAAAGAATGAAAAGACATTTGCCACAGATTAGAGATTGCTGAAACCATTGAATCTTTACACATTGTGACAATTACACATTGTACAACTGCTGAAGTTGTAGAATATTCAGTTCCAGTTATTTAAATGTAAAATATAAAGTTTTGCTCTTGAAAGAAAACAAAAGTTAACGATTAACTTAATGCCAGGTATCAAAAATGAGAAAAGGTAACAAACATTTCTAGAATTTATATATGGGGTTGTGATAATGGTAAACATGGGCTATCAATATTCGATTTCCATCATTTTATTTTGAATAATGAAGATCTATAAACTGACTAAAAATGGGTTTTTGAAAAAAAGGGCAAAAGTGGTCTTAAAATGTCTAAGAGAGATATTAGGAACTGCAGATGCTGGAAAATCTGAGATAACAAGGTGTAGAGCTGGATGAACACAGCAGGCCAAGCAGCATCAGAGGAGCAGGAAGGCTGACGTTTTGGACCTAGACCCTTCATCAGAAATGGGGGAGGGGAAGGGGGTTCTGAAATAAATAGGGAGAGAGGGGGAGGCGGATAGAAGATGGATAGAGGAGAAGATAGGTGGAGAGGAAACGGACAGGTCAAAGAGGCGGGGATGGAGCCAGTAAAGATGAGTGTAGGTGGGGAGGTAGGGAGGAGATAGGTCAGTCCAGGGAGGACGGACAGGTCAAGGAGGCGGGATGAGGTTAGTAGGTAGGAAATGGGGGTGTGGCTTGAGGTGGGAGGAAGGGATAGGTGGGAAGAAGAACAGATTAGGGAGGCGGGGACGAGCTGGGTTGGTTTTGGGATGCAGTAGGGGGAGGGGAGATTTTGAAGCTTGTGAAATCCACATTGATACCATTGGGCTGCAGGGTTCCCAAGCAGAGTATGAGTTGCTGTTTCTACAACCGTCGGATGGCATCGTTGTGGCAC